AATATATATATATATATATATATATATATATATATATATATATATCCCTGAGCTCTCCAAACAACCGAATCAAAGCGAGGCTTTTAGTTGCATTTTCCAGCCACAGTTTCAACTACTAAGCACTTCACACAATCTAGACAACAAACCCATTGCCCTGGAATCAATTCCAACTCACAGTGCGACCCTAATGAGTATGAGACCCATGAGTATGAGTCACACATTCTAGGGAGTCAAAACTTGGTCGCACTCTTCTGGCTCCACTAGGATTCACTCTGTAGGAGGCAGGAGGACATCAACATAACAGGGAAAAGGAGGTAAGTAGTGGAGACCAAGGAAGGTTTTTCAAAACTTCAAAACTCTGTGGTGTGTGGAGAGCAATTTCGAACATTTAATCTGCAAAAAGACTTTGTGTTTGTAAGCACTGCATAGACGACTATGAGGCTGGACGTAAACATATTTTGAGTATTTTGTGGGTTCTGCTCTCCTGTGACTGATTAGAGGAAATACTGTTATTTCTTCTTCCATCACAGACGTTTTTAGCCCAGAAAAATCCTCATGGTCCCGGCAGGGAGGCTGGAGCTACAGTACATCCCCGCAGGCGCGGAAGGGAAGCCCAGTGCGGGTTTGGGGTTTCGAATCCGAAGAGCATCGGACGTCTTCCTAATTGGGTATTTTTGCTCATTCTTTTAAAAAAAGAGATCCTTGGGGAGGGAAATGTGTGATAGGGGGGTCAAACGATTTTCAGCTGGTTATTTGCTACCAATCATCACTCTTAAAGTCTTATTTAATTTCATAGTCGTTAGCGTTAGTTGCGCAAAGACTATCTAACCCTCTCGGTTGGGCTGAGCGGCCAACCTTTGGCGGCGGCGGCGGCGGCGGCGGCGACCCTGGTATGGTTGGGTTCTAACCTAACACTCATTGGCTTTGGGAAAGAATGAGTACTCGGAGCTCACCTGGAAGATGGTTTAATTAGAAGTCTCCCCGCGTTGTCAGGCCACGGAAAGGCGGGAATCCTGCCCCTGCCCAGAGCAACTCAAGGACAAGACCCGCCTGGACTCCGCTCAGAGCCACGTGACGGGCCTGAGTGTGTAGGCGAGTAGAGTGTAAGGCGCACAGGTCAGGTGGAGACCTTGCACCCTGCCCAAGAAGTGGCCTTTCCTCCCCTCCTCCCTCTGCGTGGCTTTTCCAAACCAACCTGGAAAGGGCCCCTTTCCCCCACAGCCATGAAGCCAGTGGACCCAGAAATTAAAGGCTTTGCTCGTGGCTTTTTTCCCAGTCCCTAAACGGAATTTTAAAAAGTGCTGGTTTTTAATAGGGGGCAGATTCTTTTCTGAGTTACAAGTCTTTCTTATGCATACCCACCCTCTCTGGTTTCTGCAGATGCAGATCGCACCCATGTTTCGTCTCATCATTCTCTAGTTGCTGAAGCCCTTAAGGTTTGGGAAACTGGTTGGGGGAGTGGGGGTTCGGAGAACGCAGGATTAGCGGAGGCTCTAGGAGCTCTGTGGCGTAGTGCCTAAGGCATTTGACAGCTAACCAGAAGGCTGGTGGTTCAAACCCGCCAGCCACTCCTGGGAAGGAAGGTTAGGCAATCTACTTCCGTAGATATACTGTCTCCGAAACCCAAGGAGGGGTCGCTGTGAGTCG